TGCGCCAATCATAGCGTGGGAGTGGGTACGCCCTGGCTGTTGTTGCCTCGCAGTTACCTCTATGTTCCCGATTATTTTCGCACACCTGTACGCCTCTTCTTCCTCACTCTCTTATCTCTTCCTCTTCGCGGAGCCCCCTGGTGTATGGGTATGGGTACGATGCATCACGAACCATTTGTCCTGTTCGTGTCCTGCTAGAGGCGCTCAGACCCGCAGACCTGCAGCTGTGGGCGCGCCTACAGACCTGTAGGTCTGCAGGTATGAACTCCCTCCTTTTCTCATGCTGACCCTTGTCACCATCCTCATCCTTATTGTCATCCCTGTCAGTAATATCATCGTCGTTTTCATTGAAGCCGTCCTCACCGTCATCGGTGCCATCATCGCACAGACCGTCATCATTGGGTTTGCCTTGTCACCGTCATCATCGTTACCATCATTGCCATCGCCTTCGCGCGCGTTACCATCACTACATCACCGTCGTCATCAGTCATCAGTCATCACCATCTTCATATCACCATCACCACTACTGGCCATCACTGTTATCATCACCAACCCCGCCGTCATCATACGGACGCGCTGCCTCGCGCGTTCCCGAGCATCCGTGTTCGGTAGCTGCCGCCTTTGCCATGATGGCCGCATCCAGCATGACAAACGAGATGGAGATGCATGCTTCCAGCCAAGACATCCCTCACTTACCAGCACGTGCGATTTCAGATGGGGGGCCCAGTGGCGTCGGCGCAAGTGCTCCCGTGACGCCCCCGCCGTGGTGATCTTGCATGGACAAAAAGGCAAGGAACAAGGTTTGCCGCGCGTTGCGGGGGTATTTGAAGGACCTCGTTTCCAAGTCGGAAAAGGACCTCCACGATGTCCCACCGGAGAGCGACGATATTCATCGTCTTGCCTTGCGCGTCGTGGCAAGCGGGAGCCGGGAGCGTTCGCCGTTCCTCCATGCCGCTGCGTCGTTCGACGCGGCCCACCGTTGGCACGCGCTGTCGACAGAAGTCCTCGGGGAAAAAGATGGTCGAGGTTGACGCGTGGACATTGGATCAGCACGCTGCAATGACCTAGCGCACCATGACGGAAGACGCGATCGACCCCTGTTGCGCAGAGGAAATCAGTCCCCGATGAGACAGCCGCGGGCGCGCGGAGTCGCAAGTGACGAATTTGCCAAGGACTTCGAGCCACGTCTCTGGGAATTTGGCAAGGCCACTCGCGCCGAAGAGGTGCTCCCATGTGGGTGGGGGGCGGTTCTCATGCGGTGCACCGTCGTCGTCGGCGTCGTGACGGGAGTGCCGTCTGACTTACTGGAATGTGGGGGCGCTGTCCAGACAGCCTGGTCAGAGAGCAGTGAGGTTGGCAGCCCTTAGCGCAGCCTATGCTGCTGTAAGTGCCGCGGGCTTTCAGCCGAGCCCGGTCTCGGAGCCGCCGCCGCCGCCTCCGCCGCCCCTGTCGCTGGCGGGCGCCCCCCGCGCCGCCGCCGCCGCGGCCACCGGCGGCCGCCGCCCACGAAGCCGCCGCTGCGCGCAGGGCGGCGCTCGAATTGGCGGGGGACGCAGCGCGGCGGGAGTTTGGATTGTGTGGCGCGGCAGCAGGGCCCGCGTTGACTCGCCATCCTCTTCCCCTCGTCCATTCTCCCCCATCCACCTCCTCCTCGTCCTCCTCGCCCTCCTCTTCGTCCTCGTTCTCCTCTTCCCCATGCCTGCCTTCCTCCCAGCATGCTCATCGTCTTCTTCTCCTCGAGCTCCTCCAGCCCCTCCGCATTCTGCTGCTGCCGTTTCTTCCTCCTCGAGCAGGTGGGGGCGGCGGTCGCCGCCGCAGCGCGTGGCTCAGGGCGCGCCGAGCGGGCCGTCGAGGATGACCCAGAGGGGCGTCTGGCGCCCAAGTTCACCAAGTCGGAAACAGAGCCTGGCCCAGGCTTTCCGCCAAACCGTGCCGTGCCCAGGGCCACCGCTGCAGGCCCCGCCGTGCCCCCGCCGTGCCCAGCCCTGCCCCCGCCGCTGCAGGCCCCGCCGTGCCCCTCTCGGGCTCGCGGGACCCAGCCGTGCCCACGCTGCAGGCAACGCCGAGCTCCGCCGCGGCGCTGAACACTCGTTGCTTCTGCGGCGACCTGGGCTTGGCCGGGGTGGGCTGGGATCCGGGTGGGAGGTGGGGTGGGGTGGGGTGGGTGGGTTTGGGGGGGGCGGGGCGTCAGGGTGCGGTCACTCCGCAGCGCTTGGGTGAGCCCTTCGACGTGGAGTCGACGTCCAATCTCCCGTCGCTTGTCCAGAGAGTCGCCGCCGATCGCGAGTGGGAAGCACCTCCGCAGCTGCGGCAAGCGGAGCCAGATGTCGCTCGCGCGTCGTTGGACATCATCAAGATGGCACGCGCCTTGGATAACGAGTTCATCGCCAACGCACGGAAATCGCGCGTGGAAGACCCGTCATCATCGCGCGGCGCGTGCAAAGAGTTTGCGCCGCGAGCAGGGGCGCCCCTCTCCGCGAGGCCAGGGTTCTCTGATTCTCTGCGTGCGCAGGATTGAACCGGGCAGCTCCAGGTAGCAATTGGCCGTGTTTTCGGCGATGCTCGCAAACAAGAGCCCGCCCTCCTCGTGGAACGCGGCGAACAGCTCTTGCCGACGATCGGGGGGTCGGGCGCGGAAGCCGACAAGTTCTACGCGCTCGTGGGGCCCAGGCCTAGGGCTGACCTCTCTAGGGGCTCGAGTGCCCTGGCCGTGGCGAGCAAAGGAGAAGTTTCTGGTCGGTGTGCCTGGTGTGCCTGGTCGGTGTGCCTGGTGTGCATGGTGTGCCTGGTGTGCTTGGTCAGTTTACATGGCTTGTTCTGTCGGTGTGCCTGGTGTGCCTGGTCGGTGTGCCTGGTGTGCCTGGGTGGTGTGCCTGGTGTGTCTAGCGTGTCTGGAGGGCGTGCCTGACGAGTTTCTCCCCGAACCAGCGGAGGTGTTCAAACAAGTGGTAGTGGATGTGTTCGTTTTTGATCAATCTCGGGGGCTCCCAGCCAAGTGGCCGCGGAGGTTTTTGGCGAAGTTTTGGGGCTTGGATGGCTTGCGTGGCCTCCGAGGATCGGTGGTGGAAGGTCGGGTGTGGTGTGGGGTGGGGTTGTGGTGGTGGTAGTGCTGGTGGTGGTGGTCGTGGGGGGGCAAGGGGGGGAGGGCGGGGACTGGTCCCCACAAGGCTGGTCAATTCTGCAGATGTGTAGCGGCTCTTGCTCGCCTAACACGGATGTGTCTTTTTGGTCAAGGTGAACCTTGTGCGGGTTCGTCAAACTCAGAGATGTTTTTTTTGGGGGGGTGTCACATTTCTTCAATTCGCGGGTGCCATGATGTGCGTGAGCTACATCTCAGGGCTAGCGCGACTTAGCCCGCGCTGGATTTGGCTACTCGGGGGCGGTTCGGTCCGTCATTTCCAGCGGTCGGCAATGGTTTGTTCCTGTCGAGTCTGTCGTCAAATTGGCCAGGGGCGCGATTCCCCCACTATTGTTTCTCTCGCTCTCTCTCTCTCTCTCTCGCTCTCTCTCTCTCTGCCTAGCTCTCGCTCTCTCTCTCTCTCTCGCCCTCTCGCTCCCTTGCCCCCTCTCTCTCTCGCTCTCGCTCTCGCTCTCGCTTTTTTTGTTTCCCTCTCTCTATACATATATATATATATATATGTCCTGCTGCGTCGCGCCCGTCATCCTCGCCACCACTGCCATCTAGCTGTCGTTGCCACCGCCATTCGCAGTTTTTGCTTTAGACCTAGCGGGGACTTTCAGCCAAGGGGCAGCGGAGGGTCAGCCAACTGGTCGCCGACAAACTGCCTGGTATGCTTGGTCTGTATGTTAGGTGTTCGAGCGTCGTGTGCCTGGTCTGTGTGCCTGGAGTGTTGCGTAGGTGTGCCTGATCGGTGTGCATGGTGTGCCTTATCGTTGTGCCTGACGTGCCTGGGCGCTGTGCTTGGTGCGCCTGGTGTGCCTGGTCGGTGTGCCTGGTCGGTGTGCCTGGTCGGTGTGCCTGGTCGGTGTGCCTGGTCGGTGTGCCTGGTCGGTGTGCCTGGTCGGTGCGCCTGGTGTGCCTGGTCTGTATGATTGGTGTGCCAGGTGTGCCTGTTTGGCGTGCCTGGTGTAGTTGATCGGTGTGCCTGGTGTGCCTGTTCGGTGTGCCTGGTGCGCTTGGTATTCCTGGTCTGTGTGCCTGGTGTGCCTGGTCGGTGTGCCTGGCGTGTCTGGTGTGTTTGATCGGGGTGCCTGCTGTGCCTGGGCGGTGTGCCTGATGTGCCTGGTCGTTGTGCTATTGTGCCTGGTGTGCCTGGTCGGTGTGCCTGGTGTGCGTGGTGTGCCTGGTTGGAGTTCCTGATGTGCCTGGTCGGTGTGCCTGGTGTGCCTGGTCGGAATGCCTGGTGCGCCTATTGCGTTTGGTCAAAATCACAATTTTTATCCATCACCAGGATCCGTTTGCCATCATCCTCGATAACGCCTGTCGATCCATCACCATTAAACATCGCATCGTCCGGCGGCCGCCTCAAGCTGCATCACCAAACTTCAGCACCATCAAGATCTCCTTACCACCACCCTTCATCTGGTCATTACCATCATCTATTTCGTCACTACCATCATGCGCCCCACCATCACCAGCATCGTCGTCAACATCACCATCATCCATTTCGTCACTACCATCATGCACCCCAACATCACCAGCATCGTCGTCAACATCATCATCATCATCATCATCATCATCATCATCATCATCATCATCATCATCATCATCACCGTCGTCCACTTCATCATCCTACAGTTTTGAGGGTGGTCGGGCCTGCAGGGATGCAGGTCCGGGCAATCATCCGAGATAGGTTCGAACAGGAAAATTGTGCGTTATACACCATGCTTGCTGGGTTACCGGTGGCCTCGTGCGCCAGGCAGCTCCAGCGTGAAGTGGAAAGGTAGTGGTCTTAAAATCAGGGTGCTCTGCGGCCAACGGCCCGCTGTGACATGAAGGGCTAGTAAGCGCGCTGTTACCTTGTTTGCCGCGAGCGCAGGGGCGCAGTCCGGGTGGACTTGCTGAACAATAACAACTCGCAGTACTACGGCGACTTCGCTGTTGGCAGCCCGAAGCAGAGGTGCGGGAGCTATGAAACCGTGGCGTCGGAACGAGTCCAACCATCGATCTTCCTTCTAGAGTCTTCTGGAGGATAGCGAGACGTTCCGTTCTGATGAGTTCCTTTGCATCTGTCTTGAACGGGGGGACGCGCCATTATCCTGAACTATGCAAGTGTGTTCCAGGTGCTCGCCCACCTGCGCCAGGCTAAGTACAAGCCAAGCGAGCGAAGTCCTGCTAAGCTGATCGATTGTTGACGCTTCGCATATACCCACCAGCCCATCCAGAAACGATCTCCAGGCGAATAGCCTTGATCATGTCAGCGTGCGACCGTATAGTAAAGAGGAATCCACTTATTCTTAGGCTTACGCCACACCGCCGACCCCTTGTTTATGCCAATCTGGGTTATGGGTTATGGGTTATGGGTTATGGGTTAGAAAACGGCTCTGGGTTATGGGTTCTGGGTTATGGGTTAGAGGCGTCTTGTATGTGTAGCGGGATCTCGCGGCACGCCTCTCGGGGGCCTATGGCAGGCAGTTTGGAACCACTTGGGGGCCCAGGTGGAGGAAAAGGAGGAGGAGGAGAAGGGGGACACGGAGAAACGGCTCTGGGTTATGGGTTATGGGTGAGAGGCTTCTTGTATGTGTATCGGGATCTCGCGGATCGCTTCTCGGGGGCCTCTGGAAGCGAGTTTTGGAGCCACTTGGGGGCCGTTTCGGAGCCTCTGGGGTGCTTCTTGGGGGTTCCTTGGGGCGTCTGGGCGGCCTCGTGAGGGCCTCTGGGGGCCTCTTGGGGCACTCTTGGGGCCCCCTGGGGCTCCTGGGGGCAGAAAGCTAGAGTTTCAACATGTTTGGTCGCCCTCTTGGGCCCCTCTTGGTGCCGTCTTGGAGCCCTCTTGGGCCGTCTTGGGGACCTCTTGGGCCGTGTTGGGGCCGTCTTGGGCCGTCTGGAGGCCGTCTTGGGGGCCTCTTGGGCCATCTTGGGGCTGTCTTTGGGGCCTCTTTGGCCGTCTTGGAGCGTCGGGAAGCCGAAAAGGCGGAAAAGCAAAAAACATAGAAAAACACTATGGAAAATCAACAATTTTAGACTCTTGGGGCCCTCTTGGGAGGCTTGTTTGGGACCTCGGGGGCCGTCTTGGAGACCTCTTGGCCCGTCTTGGGGCCATCTTGGGCGTCTTGGAGCGGTCGTTTGGCGTCTCGGGGCCTTCGTGGGCCGTCTTGGAGGCCTCTTGGGGGCTTCTTGGCCCGTCTTGAGGCCCTCTTGGGCCCGGAAAAGCCCCGTGAACCGCTCGTCCCGGCCGTGCTGCGCTCGCGCCGGACCCCCCCCCCCCTCCAAATCGACCGGACCGGGCTCCCGGGGGAGGGGTTTGGGGAGGGGGAAGCATCTCACACGCCGATGATCCCCGAGGGGTCGGCGGATTCTAAAAGGTCACGGTGCGACTTCCTGCACGACGGGGCGGAACAATCACTTGACTCGTATATGGATGGATTCGCCAGGAAGGCATGCTCACCAACCAATTTCTGCGATGCCTTTCGGCCATGCTGGCGAAGGAAGAGAGACCGCGAAACCGCTAGGCAGCCTTCAGTTTGCTCGCTAGTGGAGAACTGCGCGGTGACGCCAGCCATGCCAGCTGGCAAGCTCACATATCGCTGCCATTCGGCAGGCCGCGTTAAGCGACCCAGCCTGCAGCTCCACTGCTTCCGCCCGCCTCGGCGCCGCGCGTCCCAGGTTCACTGCGATCTTCGACACCGGCAGCGCCGTCACGTGGCTCCCAGGCGCAAAGTGCAACGGCATCACCTGCCAGGCAGTGCGCGCCGCGCGCGGTACCCGACGCCTATCCAACCAGGGATCTTCAGGAGGAGGGGGAGGAAGGGGAAAGAGGAGGAAGAGCAGGAGGAGGAAGGGGGAGGATGATGACGATGCTGATTATGAGTGTAGTAGTTAGGGCGATGATGATGATGATGACGATGATGCAGACGATGATGATGACGATGACGATGACGATGACGATGATGATGATGATGATGATGATGATGATGATGATGCTGATGCTGATGCTGATGCTGATGCTGATGCTGATGACGATGATGATGATGATGATGATGATGATGATGATGATGATGATGATGATGATGATGCGGAGGATGATGTTGATGGTGATAGTGGTGGTGATTGTGGTGCTTGTGATAATGAGGATGATCATGGTGGTGGTGGTGGTGGTTTTGGTGGTGGTGGTGATGCTGATGGTGATGATGATGATGGTTGTGGTGGTGGTGATGATGATGATGGTGGTGGTGGTGATGGTGGTGCGGATGCTGCTGCTGCTGCTTTGAGGCTGGTGATGATGCCGATGCTGGTGCTGATGATGCTAATGATGCTGCTGATGCTCATGCGGATGCTGCTGTGGCTTCTGAGGCTCGTGATGATTCTGCTGTTGATGATGCCGATGGTGATGCTGATGCTCTTGTTGATGATGGTGACGATGATGATCGTGGCGTTGGTGATGCTGGTGAGGATGTTGGTGCTGGTGTTTAAGCTTGTGCTTGTGATGATGATAATGACGACGATGATGCTGATGCTGATGTTGATGATGATGCTGAGGAAGATCAGGAGCAGGAGGAGGAAGAGCAGGAGGAGCAAAGGAGCTGATGATGACGATGCTGATCATGAGCGTGATGAGGGCGATGATGATGATGATGATGATGATGATGATGATGATGATGACGATGACGATGATGATGATGATGATGATGATGATGATGATGATGATGATGATGATGATGCTGATGCTGATGATGATGATGATGATGATGATGATGTGGTGGTGATTGTGGGGAGGATGGCGACAGTGGTGGTGGTGGTGGTTGTGATACTGATGATGGTGATGATGACGATGATGGTGATGCTGATGCTGCTGATGATGCGGATGATGATGATGATGATGATGATGATGATGATGATGATGATGATGGTGATGATGATGATGATGATGATGATGGTGATGATGATGATGATGATGCCGATCGTGGTGGTGGTGGAGATGATGATGAGGATGATGTGGATGCTGGTGCTGCTGCTGCGGATGATGCTGATGCTGATTATGATGCTGATGCTGCTGATGATGATGATGCTGATGGTGATCTTGGTGCTTTGGATGTTGATGATGCTGATGATGATGCTGATGCTGATGCTGACGCTGGTGATGGTGGCGGCGGTGAAGATGGCGATGATGGTGGTGTTTGTGGCCATTGTGCTTGTGCTGTTGATGACGATGCTGATTACGATGATGAGGAGGAGGATTATAATGAGGAGGATGCGAATGAATAGAAAGAGAAGGAATCAGGTTGCTGATGACGGTGCTGGTTATGAGGGTGATCATGGCGATGCTGATGATGGTGTTGATGATGATGATGATGATGATGATGATGATGATGATGATGATGCTGGTGCTGATGATGATGATGATGGTGGTAGTGATGATGATCATGATGGTGATACTGGTGCTGGTGGTGGTGGTGATGATGCTTCTGGTATGATGATGAAGATGGTCGTGGTGGTGATGATGATGGTGGCGGTGGTGATGGTGATAATGATGCTGCTGCTGATGTGTCTGCAGATGATGGTGCTACTGATGCTGATGCTGATGCTGACGCTGATGCTGATAATGCTGCTGCTGACAGTGATGATGATGATGATGATGATGATGATGATGATGATGCTCATGCTGATGCTGATGCTCTTGATGCTGATGTTGATGCTTCTGCTGATGATGTGGATGCAGTTGCTGATGCTCTTGACGATGATGGCGATGATCCTGATGATGGCGATAATGGCGGTGGTGATGATGGCGAGGATGCTGGTGCTGGTGCTGGTGCTGGTAATGATGATGATGATTACGACGATGATGATGCTGATGGCGATACTGATGCTGATGATAGTGATGCCGATGATGATGCTGCTGCTGATACTGATGATGATTCGGTGGTGGTGATGGTGATGATGATGATGCTCATGATGATGATGATGCTGATGGTGATGATGATGGTGGTGGTGATGATGATGGTGGTGGTTGTGATGGTGATGCTGTTGATGATGATGGTGATGTTGATGGTGGTGGTTGTGATGATGATGATGATGATGATGACGGTGATGATGATCCTGATGATGGTGATGATGATGACGATTATGGTGGTTGTGATGATGGAGGTGGTGATGCTGATGCTAATGATGATGATGCTGAGAGGGCTGAGGATGATAGTGATGCTGATGATGACGATGACGATGACGATGATGATGATGTTGACGATGATGATGATGACGATGATGATGATGCTGATGGTGATGATGGTGGTGGTGATGATGATGATGACGATGCTGATGATGGTGGTGATGACGATGCTGATGATGATGGTGGTGGTGATGATGCTGATGCTGATGCTGATGCTGCTGCTGCTGATGATGATGATGATGATGATGATGAGGCTGCTGCTGCTGCTGCTGCTGATGATGATGATGATGATATGGCGACATGATGATGATCATGCTGCTGATGATGGTGATGTTGATGCTGCTGCTGCTGCTGATGATGATGATGATGATGATGATGATGACGACGATGACGATGACGATGATGATGATGATGGTGGTGGTGGTGGTGGTGGTGATGATGATGATGATGATGCTGCTGCTGCTGCTGATGATGATGATGATGATGATGCTGCTGCTGATGATGATGATGATGATGATGATGTTGATGTTGATGTTGATGTTGATGTTGTTGATGATGATGATGATGATGATGATGATGCTGATGATGATGATGATGATGATGATGATGATGATGATGATGATGCTGATGATGATGATGATGATGATGATGATGATGATGATGATGATGATGATGATGATGATGATGATGCGGAGGAGGAGGAGGAGGAGGAGGAGGAGGAGGAGGAGGAGGAGGAAGAGGAGGAGGAGGCGGAGGAGGAGGAGGAGGAGGAGGAGGACTGTGGCCTGTCTGCAGTGTTTCGGCCAGTGTCGCGGGAGGAGGAGGAGGAAAGGGGATGGCGGAGGAGAAGAGGGGTGTAGCACGGTTGTCCCCCTCGGACGTTGCAGCCAAAAGAACATTCGCGGGACCGCCCGCACAGGGACCGTCACGACCGCGAGAAGCTCCTCAGCGGCCGACGTTCGCTCTCTGCAGCTCTCGCCGCAGCTCGTCGGTGGAAGCGACGCGGCCACGAGAGCATCCTCAGCGGCCTCGTGCCCGCCCCTGCGGTTCTCCCCGTCGCAGCGGAGCCATTCGCCTGTTGGCGGTCTCGTGGCAGAGGGCCGCTGGCTCCGCGCCATGGCTCCCCGGAGGGGAGGGGGCGCCTCGGCCAGCGGGAGCCAGGCGCCTGTGTGCCCCACCCCTGCCTTTTGGGCGCCACGTGCGGGGAACCAGTCCAGCCCGCCGCTCGGTCTGCAGTACCTGCCAGCGGGTGCTTCTGCCAACGGGGGGTCGCTTCCATCCCGCCCCTCTGGCGCTAGCGTTGGGTCACCCCGCCCATACGCTGGCGTGCCACCTCTGGCTCCATGCTGTTGTTGTTCCTCCCCATGCTCGCCCCCTCCCCGCGTGACCAGCACAAGCACTCACAGGACTGTTCGTGCGTGTCATGCCACAGGTAGCAATCGCAAATGTGTTCAGGTTTACTTGTTTCTGTATGGTTGCGTTTGGATTGAGATATGTTGAACACATCGAGCCATTCTCCAACACGTGCCTTTGGAGTGGTATCGGACAGCTGGGATTATTGCCATTGCCTTTTTGGCTGCGATGCTTGGCAACCTCACAACATCAGTAGACATACATGTATATTTCGAAGGCCTTACGGCCAGTGCCACCGACCCTGAAGACGACGAAGATGAAAACGAGCGGGGGGGAGTAGGAGGCGGAGGAGGAGGAGGAGTGGGGGGGTAGAGGAAGTGTGGAGGAGGCGGATGAGGCAGGAGGAGGGGGGGAAGGATGAGGAGGAGCAGGAGCAGGAGGAGGAGGAGGAGGAGGCAGAGGAGGTGCAGGAGGAGGGAAAGCAGGGGGGGGGGGGGAGGAGGAGGTGGGAGGAGGAGGAGGAGGAGGAGGAGGAGGAGAGGAGAGGAGGAGGAGGGGGAGGGGGAGGGGGAGGGGGGAGGGGGAGGAGCAGGAGAGGAGGAGGAGGAGGAGGAGGAGGAGGAGGAGGAGGAAGGAGGATGAAGAACACTAATACTTGTAATAAGAAGAATGCTTATACGAATGATGCTAATATTCACAACAATAATACTATTCATAATAAGGATACCAAGTACACCAATAAAATTAAGAAGACGGATACAATTCTAGTAATATTAGTAATGCGACGAATTTGACGACTAATAGTACTACGACTAGTAATATTACTAAGAAGAATAGTAAGAGTAATGTAATACTGATACAACTATTATTCATACGAAGAAAAACTACTAATACAACTAAGAACATTGTGAACTATACTACCAATACTAATAAGAGGAGGAGGAGGAGGAGGAGGAGGAGGAGGAGGAGGAGGAGGAGGAGGAGGAGGAGACGTTGTGGCATTCCGGGGTCTGTTGGAAACAGCTTTTCATGGTTTCGGGGGCGTTAGAGGGGGACACGTAACTGGGCGGCGTCCTTTGGCCTTCTGGGGGCCCCCTTAGGCCGTCCATAGGCGTTCTTGGGCTGTCTTGTGGGGCTTGGGCCGTCTAAGGGCGCTCTTGCTGATCCGTCGTGGCGATCCCCCCTCCTCCAGCGCATCTACAGAGGGCCCCTCTGGAAAAGCCGCAAGAGGGGGATGCGAATCTGACCCCCCCCCTCCCCTCTCTGGGACCCCCCCCCGCCGGGGAAGGGACAAGGGGAAGGGGCTTCGCTTTGACGTGACTGCGACGTGGGTCGATTTCCCTTAATCCCTGGACTTCTCCCCCCGACGACGGGAGATTGCTCTCTCACCCCCGACGGGGAAGGATAAACAGAAAAGGCGTCCCGTCGACGGGACCAGACAGAACCCACACGCCGATAGGGTCGGCGGATTTGTATTATACATGGTTTTGCCTTCGGCTGGAGTCACCAGATGCTGCTTTTCAATACCGTCCCGACCGTGCCTCTGGATGCCCAAAGGTTGCCGAAGATGGAACCACTACAGGGTCCAAGAGGCGCATTGGAGGTTCTTTTGGGCTACGATCCGCATGTCCATACCTGTCATCTGTGGACGCTCGGAGAATGCGCTTACGTTACAATGTTGCACGCCCTTGCGCAGCTCTTCGGTCTCACGCGCTTCCGGGGTATGCCAAGACATGCGTCCATAGGCACACACGAAAAAGTTTGAGCGAGATCTTCGGCCTTGTGGCCACACACTTATTCTTCGCATGCCCCGACCTCATCTATTCAAGAGGCTTACGTCGTTCCGCCGACCCCTAGAAGTGGCGGGGAGTCCACGGTTGAGGCGTCGTGGGCTTCTTGGGCACTATCTGGGGACTCTTGTGGGCGTCTTGGGAGCTGTTTGGGGGCCTGGCGGAGCCTCCTGGAGGCAGTTTCGAAGCGTCTTGGGGCCCGTTTTGGGGCCTCTTTCGGGCCTCTTGGGTGCCTCTTGGGGCTTATTGGGGGCCTTTTTTGGGCCACCTTGGGGTTTCTTGGGGCCTGTTGGGGGGCTGTTGGGGGGGAAAAACATGATGTTGGGTTCGCCTTCTTTGGGCCGTCTTGGGCCCCTCTTTGGGCCGTTTTGGTCCTGGGGCCCTCGCAAGGACCTCTTGGGCAGTTTTGGGCGGTCTACGGGGCCTCTTGGGCCGTCTTGGAGCGTCGGAAGCCCGAGAAGACGATAACCTCAGAGACAATGAAGATCCGAATGGAAACCATTGATTCTTGCCCCTCGGGGCCCTCTTGTGAAGGCTCTTGGGGCGTCTCGAAGGCGTCTTGGGGCGTCTTGGAGCCATCGTAAGCGTCTTGGGCCAATCGTTCCGTGATTCGGGACTGTCTTGGAGCGTCTTTGCGACCACGGAAGGCAGATCTGAAAGCTCTGGAGTCTCTGGGGATGCGCCGACGAGCCCGGATACC